ATAATCTACCTGAACTGTTATCTCGCTAGCTTCAGAGCAATGGTGAGTAGAACAATGACGACAATCTAGTAAGCAGCTTAATACACCTGATACCTGTAATATCTACATTCAATCTTGTGTAATTACACCTGTGATACCTGTAATATCTACATTCAATCTTGTGTAATTACACCTGTGATACCTGTAATATCTACATTCAATCTTGTGTAATTACACCTGTGATACCTGTAATATCTGCATTCAATCAGGTGTAATTACACCTGTGATACCTGTAGTATCTACATTCAATCTTGTGTAATTACACCTGTGATATCTAGTATCTGCATTCAATCAGGTGTAATTACACCTGTGATATCTGTAGTATCTGCATTCAATCAGGTGTAATTACACCTGTGATATCTGTAGTATCTGCATTCAATCTTGTGTAATTACACCTGTGATACCTGTAATATCTGCATTCAATCTTGTGTAATTACACCTGTGATATCTGTAGTATCTGCATTCAATCTTGTGTAATTACACCTGTGATATCTGTAGTATCTGCATTCAATCTTGTGTAATTACACCTCTGATATCTGCATTCAATCTTGTGTAATTATAACTGTGTTGTATGTAGTATCTGCATTTAATCTTGTGTAAATAAACCTGTAATACCTGTCACCCAGTCACCCATCAGCCCCTATCTGTCACATGGTCATACATGGAGTCCATACCTGTCCAACACTGAATGCTCCTACAAGAGTGAGGTAACCCACCAACTGAAAGGCATGTTTCTAGGACAATGCTCTAATGAATGCTTCATGATTGTATGACTGTTCATTCAGCTGCTTGTTAAACAGCTGTCCTGCCTATAGAAGCAAATCACATCCCAGATTTACTTTGAATTAATTGTCAATGTAACAGGAAAAACCTCCATCAGAATACAGTGTATTATAGAGCAAGACTTCACCAGTGTCTAGAGATTCATGGAGAATACAGTGTATTATAGAGCAAGACTTCACCAGTGTCTAGAGATTCATGGAGAATACAGTGTATTATAGAGCAAGACTTCACCAGTGTCTAGAGATTCATGGAGAATACAGAGGAACAAGCTGAGCATGATATTTATGTGGGACAGAATATGAGTAATTTGATAAACAAATATGGATATGAATTATGAGTGAGTGAGTGAGTGTACGCCGCTTTTAGCAGTATTTCAGCAATATGACGGCAGGGGAAACACTTCATATAATTTCATTAAGATAGAAGCAGGCAACCATGGAAAATCTAGAAGATGGAAAGTTGTTTTCCATAAAAAAAATTCAAAATAACATATGTTTGCTAACTGAAAGTAACATGAGGTGCAATATATGATTAGCTTCACTAACTTCTTGACCATATTTTACAGTAAAGGCAACGACGTAATCCTGCAAACACTGGATAGAGAAAGTCATATCGGTAGTACCATGTGTTGGTTCCATATCTCATGGGTGGGAGATTTGGTTTAAATGCTATTAAGTAAAGTGTCCTAGTTGTGTAAAGTGAAGTCAGCTTAATGACATAAATGTCATGCACCTACAAGGATGGATATAATGAAAGGTCAAGGCCAACCAGAGCAAATTTTGGATTCAAACCAACCATCAGCAGATCCTGATACAAGATCAACTGAGTCACCTAACAGAAGTAGGTCAACACATGCTATATTCCTTTCACATGTATCAAATCCATACATGTTAGTGAGTAAGTGAGTTTAGTATATATTCGAGTCTGGACCAGACAATCCAATGATAAACAGCATGAGCATTGATATGCACAATTTGGAACTGATGACAAGTGTCAGCAAGCCTGACCACCCAATTAGTCCTGTCTTACGACAAGCATGGGTTACTGAAGATCAGTATTCTAACCCGGACCTTCACAGGTACATACATGTTAGTGATACTTGTTATTCAGAATATTCTGTGTGCCACAGTATAATATTGCACACATTTCCTATTTAAAATTCTTTCATCATTTTTCTCAGAAAACAAAAACAATTCAACCTAAATCTAGTCAAATTAGAGAATATTTACATAAAGTGCCTCTGCTCCAATGTCCAGGTCAAGATGTATAGAAAGCCTGTAACTTAAAGATGCACTGGCAGGTGCCCCTACACAAAAGGGTTTGCACATTGTGTTCACAGGCTTCGCAATTTAGTTTTCATTAAAGCCTTGGTAGATGGCATCTGTAGAATGCCGACCCACAATTGTTGTGTGTTTGCAGAACAAATTCATTCAAGCTTAAGGGGCGATGCCCTAGAAGGAGCATTACTCATAAAATTACGAACCCTGTCAAATATAATGAAAGCCTACACATAATAATATTAAAAGAAACACATTGCCAACATGTATTGAAAATGGGAAAGTGTAAAACATTAGAATACACAGAAGCAGAATCAATATGTTTAACACTATCAAATTTGAGGTAAACAAGCAATATTTCATTATGTCAACATTTTCCTATATGTGTCGGGATGGTGGGGTAGCCTGATGGTTAAAGCATTGGCTCGTCACGCCGAAGACCCGGGTTCGAATCCCCACATGGGTACAATGTGTGAAGCCCATTTCTGGTGTTCCCCCTCCGTGATGTGTTCCCCCGCCATGATATTGCTAAAAGCGGCGTAAAACCAAACTCAGTCAATCAGTCCTATATGTGTCAATGACTCCACAGTCACCATTAACATAAAACTGACCTTTACACTGAACGTTTAGTTCGCTGTAGTCCATACAACATCTATAGTTATTTGTCTAGTTATAGTCTATAAGTCTTTTGTGTGATAAGAATAAATAGCACCATCTTAACCATACAGGAAAAATTCTTGCAAATAAACAAAAAGAAAAACTAGGACACAAATACCTCACTCCTTTGATTACCAGAACACTTGTTGTAAACCTTGGGGTATCCTCGACAGTTATAGTTCTCGTGTAACACAAATGGCCTTCAAACCTGCTGGAAGCATCAGATCCAGCAGAAGCCTAAAGCAATGCCACCAGTCCCATCGGTCAACACAAGACAATACCCTTACGGGGACAAGCTATGGTCATCTAATAATATACAACAGGAAGTAGGCAGACTTTGAAACAGCAAGAAAGACAAACTGAATGACAAAGTAATTTATCAACCATTGGCCAGGTATGAATGTGTCCAGTACATACGGCTTAGTGCTCCACCTGGAGAAATGAACTACCAAGTAAATGTTCTACTCTCATGATCAGGACACAAAACACTGGTATGATCTCTAGATTAACATGGAAATGAATTTAATAACCGCCTAACAATTTAAACAATGAAGAGAGAATATTGGTAGTTAGTGTAATGAGACTTGTGTTGAGACAATTTTTCCAAACAATTTTAACTTATGTTATCACTTCTCAATGCCATTCAAAGACCTAATTCTAACACTGCTGTGAAACATCAACATATAAAATTAAAATGCCATGTATATAGTAAAGCTGCTATCAGAGCTTGAATACTTCAAATGGACAGCTACAAAATAGCCTCATCTTTGAAATATTCCATAAAGACAAGCACTGAATACTGTTGAAATTCGGTCCTAACAATTCAGAAGATATTCATGAAGGAGGTTGATGTTTCCTGGTCTACTAGGAAGAAACAGTCTACTAACCTGGGTGAGCTCCAGCTAGACCCTGTCCCGACTACGAAGTGTGATTGGCTTGTACACGGGTGTTGATGCCAACACGTCATGACGTCATATTGACGTCAGCCTATCGGTCTGGCGTCAAGGAAAGACTAAAAATTCTCACACATCGCTTAAAACACTTTGGAAGCTTCCAAGCTGAAACCTTTATCATAAAGTGGGTCTCCGATGGATGTTGAATCTTTATCATAAACTGGAGCCTCTACTGGATCATTATGCCGTTCAAGAATAATGAAATAGACATTTCATGATCTTGCATAACAAATTGGTCTTTAATTAAGTTTGATGAGTGTTTGCATTTTCTTTCTACCAACATTAGTTCCTCAATGGCCACATAGAAGAATATTGATCCACATCAATGATTAAAAATATGTTGCAGAGAATTCATCAATATTCAAACGTGGCTGAATTTTATGGTCATGATTTGCCATCTTTTTATAAAATTCAAGGACAATTACCTATTTGTTCAATGAAGCATGGGATTGGATTGCAGTTTCAATTCTGCATGATAGTAAAGGAATGAAAACATCAAAACTGACGGCCATTACAGGGTTCTTGTCACTGTTTTCACATTGCTGCCGTCAAGGCAGTAATAATAGTTGAAGGAACAGTACGGCAATCACCAAACTGTCATTCATCAGACAGGACATAAATCAGGGGATGTTTTCCACAGATTACTAAGAAACAAAGAGACATGATGAGAAAAACCAGTTATGTGTAAATCATTAACACATTCCCAGACACAGACACAGACACAGTAAGCTCTGATGCAAGGCTGTTTCCTGTTTCAGACTATTGCAGGGAGATATGCATGCATATATGTGTATGTGCGCGCATGCACATGCATTCATGAGCATGGGTTGCATGAGTGTGTTATCTAGTCTGAACTAATGCCATCTGTTGGTGCAATCCTCCCCAGAAACTATTTAACAGTTTTCGCACTCAGACACATATTCCAACTCCGAGCTGATCAGTTTTTGTAGCGGGAGGTGAACGGATGAAAACAGCAAGACCCCAACAACAGTCTCCATGGGGCACATGGAGATGAATCAGTTAAGTCTGAGTTGCCAAGATCTCTGAACTGGCAGCATTTGACACCTGGGTAGTATGTGTACTGGTCATAACAAAAGTCAAGGGCTGGTTAGGACTGCTAAACCTAGTTCTGGTAGTGTAAGTCTGGAGTAGGGGTTACATGATGGAAAGCATGCATCTAAATCTGTGAACATGCTTGATGGAATTAGCTTGATGTGAACATAATATAGGAAACAAAATAGAAAAAGATCATCTGAAAGTGACCACCACACTTAACAAGATGAGTAACTACCTTGGGCTAGCATAGGTGTTGAATGGAGGCTGGCTATGGCTTGTCGGCTGATGATGGTAGAAGGGTGGAGGGTGTTAGTTGAAACTGTAAACAGATGACAAGTCAAGGTTGTAAGCAGTTATCAACAGTCCTGCTGTAACATAGTCACAGTTAGAAATATTCTGCCGTAACTAAGTCATCTGTGAAACCAATGGACGATAACATGAACAACAAGTCCAACAGCTGTTGTACAACAACAGGCTCTGCAACGCCACACATTTTAGTCATGTCAGTATTCCAGTGGGAGTCCGGATGGGTAAAACTATATTTTAGGGGCTGGTTAGGGGCAAAGAGCTTCCCACACAATAGAAGAGGCATGGTCAAAGCTGGAAGGATCTGCTTGGTTTATGTGGAAAAAGCATTTGCAATTGTTGAAAGTGGCTGGTGAATCAGTCAGTTAGGGTGTCAGCATGATGAAGGAATGGAAGGGTGTTTGGGACTGGGTAGTAGATATGAAAACACAACATGATTTCAGGATAACATAAACAGTTATTATAAACATAAACATGTGTTGACACAAACACATAATAATATGTAGCTTTGTACATAACACAAACGTGTCAAAACATACACATACCATGCTATAACTTACGTATCTCCATACATAGCATTCCTTAAAAAATATGGCTGACTATTTCCTGGTCAGCATGTGATAAATACCAATATTACACGCTCAGAAGACTGACTGGTTCCTGACAGAATCTATGGATCACATTCCACATATTCATGATGTCCATTACTGTAAATCTCCCACCATTGTCTGAATCAATAAGTACATGTGGATATTTATGAATGATAGAGCACTTCCTGTTTCTAGCATTCCACCTGACCACGCTGCACAGTCCCCTTGCCTGGCTGACAACCTGGCCTGATATATTACCACAAACCATAGTCTGCTTCTACAAAAGCAAGTGATTATTCCTCAGATATCCTTTGTGGCCATATGGTAAAAGCCTGGCCATTCAGCCAGCATAATCCTTGAAACACTGCCATTCTTACAACAGCAGTCATGTACGCAACAATCCCAACAATGGCCGGTATCTTGCAGGTGCTTGTATGCTGAGAACTTGCTCATGGCATCAGCACACACAGACCCCCTTCCACACCCAGCATGTGATGCCAGCACCTTCACCTACCTTCATTCATCACAAACACACAGAAATAGTTCCTTTTCCATATACATCATGGCAAACACAACACTATGAGGTCACCAGTCCCACACTACGACTTGAGCTATTTATAGCCTACACCGCACTTCAAGTCAGCCTGCTGTATAACACATGGCTAAACCTTTAAAGTTATAGTGACTGAACTCAAGTATGTGTAGATATTCCCCTCCAACTGTAGGGCAAAGGAAACTGTGACTCCACCCTACCTTCATGTCCTGTGTGTCGGCAGTGTACAACGGTTTGGTGTGATCTGTGAGTGTGTGTGTGTGTGAGGCTTAGCAAGGCTGTTTGCTGGGAGACCAGCAGCTTCGTCTTACCTGAGGGAGCTAGCAGGCCTATTCCATCCCAGTGACTGTCAGTAGTGTATGTAGCCAGAGACAGGGTGACAGGTGGAGTATCCAGAGTATCTCTCCCTTACAGTGGTTCTGCCTGACTGCTCCTAAGCAACAATGCCACTTGTGTGAACTGGCCTAGCTACCTAGACCCGGCACATCACGCTGGCCCAGATACACAAGTCAAGCGCGTGAATGGAACACTCGCTAGAGGTCAGCACTGGTATACCTGCTGCTGTGATCGGGTGTTGCTGTGCTTCCGTCACAGCTAGGTGTGTGTGTGATCACCGCACCTCAATATGTTGGTGGGACTTGACAATCCAGCTGATTTCTCACAAAAAGGTTTAAGCAGTTAAATCGAGAGTGGCATGGAATCTGCCACAGCGTATACTGAACCCCCAAACGCCCACCAGTGCCACATATATCCCTCCTGGTTCTCTCCCCGTCTACATCTGTGCAGATACTTGGCTGTTATTAAGTGTAGTGTATGTCTCAACTCTCCAGGTGCTGCAGACACCATGGCCTGCCGGCCCAGCTAGCTCACAGAGCAGAGGGATGGGAGCCAGAGAGCTCATTAACAGCACGAGAAATTCCAGTCCATCCTACCTGTAGTGTATACAATACATCAGGAAATCTGACAATTTAATGTAAAGAATTGCTTAATTGGATCTAAAAGTGTTTCAAGTCAGTTTGGGTGTGATCCTAGTTTGGAGTACTTAGTGTAGAGAATGTTGGCTGTTTCGGACATGGGTGAAGTGAAACAAGACGATGATACTGTGTCTTCTGTAGGCAAACATTTAACTTAGTATGGGGCAGGTAAGCGTAACTAAATGTCTGCTGAAGTATCAAAAATAGTACAATAGTCTACGATTTTTGGAATAATTACAACAGTGACACTATGATTATAATATCATTACCACTATCTTCCCATAATGCATATCTGCACTGGACCAATCATTGAGACTCAGTTTATAAGTGGTTGCTTGTTTCTATCAAAATTGTATATATTTAGGGACTAAGTGTTCATCTAAGTATGATGCTTCAAACAAGCTACCATATATAATTACAATAATTGGGTATTGATATGAGTCTGATATGAGATAAATGTCACATTGTTGACACATGTAGTATTACACTGACAGTGGTATGCGAAGGCTGGCTGGCTTGCTGTGATTGTCAACAGTCATGAATGCTGTGCGTGCCGTCACCTCCCTTCAGTGAACAGCATGGGCACTGTCATCAACATGCTGTGCATACCGTTATCGCTGTGGCAGCACAGCAGTAGATGTATATACCATAACATGCCTGCTGTGCAGTGGGTGGAGCAATAGCCCTAACTGCTGTCATGAAAATAATACTCTACACACACTACATTAAAGTTCATACTGCATGTTTTATGGTATTTCAAAGTCAAGATTAGTCACAGTACATTGAGTAACAATGGGTCTTTATGATATCACAATAAACTGGTTGACATGTGCATGCTTGTATACAATAATTTGCAATAATTCTGTTTCAGGAAAATAGTTATAGGATATTCATCTGCAATTTGAGATATGTTTTTGAATATTTCAAGAACTATTGTCAAAATTTTACATGAAGATATACCATATTTCCAGGTGATCATGCAGTCTGTTGAGTGAGTGAGTGAGCTGGGCTGGGGTAAATGTCACTAAGGGCAGGTATATCAAAGCACATCAGCTCCAAGTTACTGCAAAGTCCCACACCATTACAGATAAAACATTCAGCACAGAAAGTCCAAGAGTAGAGATAAAGAAGAAGGATTGTATTGGATTCAAACTCAGAACTAGCTGATCATGGCACAACTTTTGGAAATAGGCAGAGAAAAAATGCAAGTAATAATATTCCCAAACCGTGAATAAATGCCAGGATAACGTGTGAAATTTCTTTGTTTCTACGTTCAGTGTTGTTATGCTAGTATAGTCCAGTCATCCAGCCACTCAGGTCACACATATGATCACTCATAAATATATTTTCAAACTAATTTATTGACAACCTTTCACACAGACAGAATACTATAACACTGTTTGAATTTAGACTTAATCTAGTAACTTAATTGTAAGAGAGTATCCGACTGTTTCAGTGGATCATAATATCTGTAGAGCGGAATAGGTGCACACAAACATCCCCACAACAAAGTCACGCAGTATTATGTATATATTTGTGAGTGCATCAAGTACTGTTGCAACATGTTAAAACATTACATCAGATATATATATACCTAAACATGTATAACCCTATGTATGCCTCCTGTTTATATGATGAGACATCGAGTTAGTCTTCTTGAAAATCATTTTAATTATACAGTTTAGCAATTAGTCTCCACAGAATCAACTGGCATAACATTTAAGTAGATCCATCCACATGTAAATCCACCAAATCACCCTACTTTTGACCGATCGTCAGCCTGGTGCGAATGAACCTTGGAACCAACTCCTGAATAAACATTAGAAAAAAGGAATATATTAAAGAACAATTAGTCTTATTATGTTCATTATCTTTGTGAGCTCATCCAGCAAAAGGGCTCCTTGCATCAACATGACTACAGAGAACAACCAATTAGAAGCATCAGTAGTACAAGACAACTCTGACAGGGCCAGTGTGTGATACAGGTTATTGTTTGCAGCGTGTGATACAGGTTCTTGTTTGCAGCGTGTGATACAGGTTCTTGTTTGCGGCGCGTGATACAGGTTCTTGATGGCAGTGCTCACTGAAAAACATACAGTGTCTGTACAAATAACTTTGTTGAAAAAAATATTAATTATTACATTTTGAAAATGTGTACTTTTTTACTTATATTAGTTTCAGTATATATTCTCAATATATATATATATATATATATATAAGTGACATGCACACTCCCAGCTAACAGAATTCAATAAATCTTAAACTTTTTATAAACATGAGGATCTTTAGAATAGTCATGATTGAGTGAGTGAGTTTAGTTTTATGCCACTTTTATCAATATTCCAGCAATATCACAGTGGGGACACCTGAAATGGGCTTCACACATTGTGCGCACGTGAGTAATTGAACCCGCCAACGCTTTAACCACTAGGCTACCCCACCGCCCCTCATGAGATCAATGTGTTCTTATCAGATGAACACAAAGAAATGCAGCCATCATGCATGATATGGATAACAGTTACAGTCATATTCGCTGGAGATGAGTACGCGCACACGCACACACCTCAGACTCTGAAATTTATCTGTCTGTCTCGTAGATCGTTATTTCCAAAAATATAAGCAATTTGACTTGTTTGGCCTGACTATAACCTACCAATAAAAGAACACTGGCTATGACCAGCTGCATGTTTGGATCAAATACAAGCAATGTAATGCATTTGCTTGTGCCAATACTTAGTGGATTAAGCATTTGAAATTTCTCTGCCTATTGTTTTCCGTCCTTGATGCAAGGAGTACTTAATGTTAAGGCTGAATCTACTCTCTACAGGCTATAGAGCTGCTAATAGAATAGATATCATTGAGGTGAACACACTATTGTTCAGTTGACAGTCTCACCATCAACGTTATTGCGACAATGGGTTCTGCTCAGTGGCCCATGCAATATATGTTCAACATGCTCTGCTGAAAAGTTGTATTTCACAATGAATTACACTGCTGCTACCACCAGAGCTAATTGCCCAGTTGTGTTGTCATACTTAAAGACCTAACCTTTTTCCCAAAGGTGTAATTGTGTTTTTTCTAATTAACAAGCTTCATACCATTGGCAGCCAATTGAGACAATGTTAAATCCTATAGAATACTGTATGAGTTATTGTTTATAATAATTGTTTATTCATGTTAGTGGTATTAGTTACTGCTCAAGGTTGGACTTCCACTACTGGAGGAGTGTGGGGTATTAGGGGTAGGCTAACTGACTAAATGTTAACTCCCCACTCAAACTGTCTGACCTTGGTGATATGAAGAATAATGACCTGATGATACAGCTGACATAACTCCACCCAGGTGGTATAAAAATCATAACATGTGATAACAGCAGTACAAGAGATCAAGCAGTGATTGAAGGAAGTGCCTATGGCTTTCAAAACAGAGACATTTTTTTCAAAACATTCACATTTTCAGAGGTAACTTCATGAAACAACGTACAACTATCCAAGTAAGGCCTCTCCTCTCAACTGTACCTCTTATCAATGTAACACCACACAATCTCAAGTGGATGTTTTTATATCACAATTCAAAAGTGAGTGAGTGAGTGAGTGAGTGTTTCAGTCATATGATGGCCCTTGAACCAGTGGAAATACTTTAAGCATTGCTTGATATAGCCAAGTTAGGCTGAAATTGGAAGGATCTCCAGAAGACCATGATTTAATGCCTTTATCAGCTGCCGTCATATGTTAGGTGCCTTTATGACAGACAAGGAACGGGGCTTCTTGAATTTGGAACAGATTAATGGCCTTCATATAAATATATTTGAGCAGCACTGTCACAAACATAAAACTACTGGCACAGCAACAGACTGATTTATGAGGAGTGTACTGCGTCTTCATTACCTACTGATAGTTCTGGGACTGCTGTACAGTCTGACATGGTGGAACACTGGCCAGAGCTGTGTTATGGTCACTCAGGCTGCAAACTATTATGGGTATACTGAGATACAGCAATGTGCTTTTTTAACAACACATACTGCATTTTTTTATCTGCTTTCATACATTGGGTGAAAAGAACCATACTTTCATAAATATTTGTGTTGCTTAATCTAAAATAGACACAGATATTTGTTCACAAAAGATTATTCCCCTTTGAATTTGATTGGATTGAAATGGTGGAAATGTAGAAGTGGTCTCCCCTGTAACCATGGCTACATAATGGCGATGACTGACCGTACAATATGTACAGTATGTAACATGTACAATGTGTATGTAGAAAATTGGATCTGCAGGTACAGTTTGTGTCAGTCATTGTCACTGAAGCTTCTAATATATTACAATACAAATACATGTATTGCAACATTTACAATATTTCTTTGCTTGTACACACTCCCCCTACACCTCCCACCTACTATTTCCTTCTACACATGTCAAAATGGTTGTTATAAAACATGTCATAGTTTCATAGACAAATAATGTGCTGCAAATGACTTGGATCTGAACCTCAAGACGTGCTTAGTCAACATATTGTATGTTTTGCCGAGCCCCAGTTAGGAAACAATAACTACCATCTTTTACCTACTTTTGGTGTGATGCAGCCGGAAACGGAACCAACATTCCACTCTCAGGGCTGACACATTTACTAGATCACAGAGCACAGTAATCACACCAGAAGCACTGCCTCCACGGTACTCCCATACGCTATATGCTTCCGGCTTCCTCAAACAATCAACCAGTTCCTTTTAGGCATCCTTGTTCAA